TATCAAGTGGACCTCCCCCAGACCTGCACAAATGCAAAACACAAACACAAGGAGTGAGGACGCTATCAGCAACAGTTCTGTTAAGAGATATAATTATAGCAGGAGTAAAGGCTCACCGTGGCCCTTGGCTTCCCATCGAGCCTGGGACGGATTGCACCACACACGCTCAATGTATGGGAAAATTGAATTCAGCTGGTTGACCCAGCCTGAGAGGTCCTTAACCGTATTGGGGTACACAATGACAGTTACATCAGCGGAAGAAGTAAGTTCATAGGAAGATGTACCCAAAGAGAAGCAAGAGAATATTTAATTAGCGTATCTACTTACATTTTATGTTCCACTTTTCGGGGAACGACATCCTCTCTAATTGAATCAGGTCTGACGTCCTAACTCGGACAAAATGGCTCATCCACCCTCCGTTCCTAACCTCGTCGGTGCAGGAAAAAAGGGTTTTCGGGGCCCGATAGTGGAGCTTTATTAGCCCCTCACAAAAGAGTCGGGGACTATACATTCTGATTAGGTGGTCGAGAGTGAAGGGCACCTCCTTAATCATGTTCGTATAATATCTGGTCATGTAAACAATGCACCAAAATGAAGAATGAATCTGGCCAAGGATTACTCGATAACATTGGTAGAAGTCGAGGATCACAGGGTCTATCGGAGGTGAGGATGACCCCACAGGGCCAAGGATGAACGAACAAGTATACACACTGAGTAAGCTAGCCTTGTATGTCGTTAATTCCTCCTCCCGAGAAGGAATTTCCACAAGCACCGCGCCCCCCCAACGACAGTCGGCCTTCACCCTTTCGACGTCTGCTATTGAACTAACATATCGGGATACAGGTTCGTATCGCCCCGAATTCGAAGAAGGTTTTTAGGTCTTAAAGTCATTTCAAAGGCCCCTGGAATGCATTCCCCGATGAGAGGGGGCATTGTTGCTTTACCCTTGGACGGGCGCAAGGAAAAAGAAGTCACATCTTCCCGAGGAGCAGAAGTGTAAGTTTTTGCCATTCTTGATAAAAGGTTTCAGAGGAGAAATGATAAATTGCGTTTTAGAAGAGAACACAAGGGAGAGGTAAGGAGAACTCTTTTGAGGGCTTGACGGTGTAGTGGAAAATAAGGAGCGAAAGAAGAAGCATTTATAGAGGTCTAACGTACGCGTTGGAGCAGGCTAAAGGACAACCGGCCACTGTGATTAAGCCAAAGGCTTTTAAGGGCTGTGCAGACGCGACCTTTGGACATCTCATTTTTCCATGTCAGTCGCTTGATAGGGCATAACCACCGTCGTGATGGAAGTATCAAACGAGCAGGAATTCAAAATCGTTTCTTATCGTTTTACTCTAAGAAATGCGGGGACTATCTGTATACGGGTGAAATCGGAAAGCCCGATTTCGCGATCATTATGTCTTTCCCATAGCTTCGCCTCGAAGGACCTGAGGCACAGTTCGAGGTCTTGACCTCGAAGGTTCTTTATACTGGATCTCAGGGCAGTGCGAGTCGGCGGTTGTCATGGATAAATGGGAACTTCCTTAGGCACGTGGCCCAAACTGACAACACCTACAAGAATAGTACCAGTCTGTACCAGACTGCTAAGTAGCTGTACCAGTTACATTTCTTTGTAATAAATGCACATGCACTATATTGGAATTCGCTCCTCCTATATAAAGGGGACCTTTATTATTTTTTGCACACATGATATCACAAGAGATACTACTCACAACATTCAATGCAAGAACATTCTCTTTGCTCTCTAACTTAAACATATTCTCTTGATTTCACTATTCATTGCTTACATTTATTGTGTTCTATTTATTGTCCATTATTGACCATAAAGAGCCTCCATCAAAGCTCTCAATACTATTAGCCCTTCATCGGCTACCCATAGCTCAGCGTCGAGCTCAACCTCCAGGCCCCATATAATCAGGCTCGATGCCCTGATTCTTAGCCTCTCAGTCTGCTTAAACATATTATTTTCAAGTTTTTATCTTATTTCTTAATCACATACTTAGCATATATTGCCTAATAACTAGCATAAAAATAGATCACGTATTTTTAGAACCACAAAATCAAATCTAATTGTAATTAACATTTTCAAGGTAAACACTACTATTTAGATCAAAACATAAAGAAAACGGACCCAAACCCTTAAGAAGGTTGTCATGCCATCCATCACCGGGAAGAGCCACCCGGTTTACACAATATCCACCTTTGGAAAGAACCATGACATTAAGAAAACCAAAGGCTTATTGATCATGCAAAATGTAAAAAGAAGCTAAAAACTTAAAAAGAAGCTACTAAAGGAAATATGAAGCTATTCTAATAAAGGGAAGTAATGAAAGAAGTTATGAAGTAAACTAACGGAAATCAAACTGAATATATACAAACTTGAAGTAAAGCAAATATATACATAAATGAAAATGAATATATACATCCAATGGTAAAAATATATACATACCAAATGTGAAAGTAACGAATATATACATACCAAATGTGAAAGTAACGAATATATACATACCAAAAGTAAAAATAACGAAAAATAAAGATGGAATGAATATATACATCTAATGGTAAATTTATATACATACCAAAAAGAAAAATCATCACCAAATCAAACTGAACCACTCCCCCAAATAAAAGATAGCATTGTCCTCAATGCTAATATCAAAATAAGATCAAGAAAGNAGTAGGGTCCTCGAACTGCATAAGATTAGTGCTCCCTCCGGGTCCTCTAACTGGATCTTCAAATCCTATGACTGGGGGACCACGTGGTTGCGGAGTATCTGGATCATCTCCGCAGCACTATGTGTAGTGATAGCCAGCTCCTCAGACTGGCCAGCTGCTGGTGCCTCATGCTCTGCTGCCTGTGCTGCTGGGACTTGCTCCTCTAAGAGTAAGTCCAATAGGATGCCTCCAGCCAATGTAAACCTCTCTACCTCCTTCCTTAGCAGCTTCACTGACTCTTTTGAGGCCCGAGTCTTCTTCATCTTCTTTATTTGTTTGCCTAGATCCTTGATTGCCTTTTCCTGTGCATCTAAAGTCTTTAGGATCGTCTCCTAGTTGTCCCAGAGCTTCTTCTAGTTATCCAGAAGCTTCGTCAATGAATCCTCCACTGATGGAGGTACCTGAAGCTGTGCTGGGGCTGACTGTGCTGCTACTGCACTGGATAAGACAGACAACATTGATGTAGCTTCCTGCATCTAGTTATTGATGCTGGACAATGTTTGAGAAACCCGCAGTGCAGTCTGACGGTAAGTGAAAGATGAGGGCACAAAAAATGGTATGGTGATGGATGGCCCAGATGAAGGAGGAGGCATGACAACTGAAAGACCCTCTGCTATGGAAGGCTCTGACCCGACAACCACTACCCTTGGCTCTTCAGACTAGGCAGTGGAGATAGTGGCTTTACCCTTTGCTTTAGGGTTGTTCAGTCCTTTGATGATATAATATGAGAAAGGTTTATTTGTCTTTGTCTTTGTCTCATAGCTCTTCTTTTCGACTCCTTGGTCCTCGAAATACATGGTGAGGAAGTTGGGGGTAGGGGTAGAATCTTTCTTCCTTTCCAACTTCCTTTGTAATGTGATAGTACATGAGGTTCCGCACATTTATGGGGTACCCTGCCATGATGCAGGCTATCAAGACACACCGTTTGAGGGAGAGGATATTGTCATGATGACATGGATCCAGCCAGCTGCACACAAAGGTATACTACCCCTTATCTTCAAAGCTTAGCGTGATCTGTATATCAGGACTCCAGCTGTGAGCCATGCTGGTGTCGTCCCTAGGGCAAATATCTCCGCCAACCATGGACGGGCTGCTTCACCAAGTGCCAACTTCTCCAAGTATTGCACGATTTCCACATCCTCAAAACCGGCATATTCATTCAACGTGTGGCCATCAAACCAGATCTTCAAGTTTTGGACCTTTGTCACCGTTGTGCCATTTTTGATGTGGGAAACATTTGCATAGAATTCTTTGAGAAGGTATTAATTGGCATCCAGAACTTTACTGGTGAAGAAATTCCACCCTATTCTCTCCTCAAAGTGCCTCCTGATATTTGGATTGTGGGGAAAGAGGTCTCTCCCTATAAATTGTCTCTCAAGGGTAAGTGACCTTTGGGGCCACCGTTCTCGAAATTTGTAATAAGCTAATTTGCGTACAAATCTGGCAGCCCACACCTCGACTTTTCTTGATTTGGCCAAACCCCTAATATTGGTGTCACCTCCTCTCTCGTCATTTGGGACCTCGGCATCAATATCAACATTGATGGGGGTTGCTGTTGGGACCAGTGTTGTAGCAGATGGGGAAGATGGTGTCGAAGACTCACTACCTCCCTTTGAGCCATAAGACGACTCAGAAGAAGAGGTAGTTTCATCACGTAAATGGAATTTCCCTTGAAAGTCTGCAGGAACATGAGTGGGCATAGAGTCTCCATCCCAAACTTCCCGGGAAGGGACATACTCACTCCCGTCAGAATGATCTGCAGCTCTATCTGCAGCTTTGATTGCAGCTCTCATCTTGCCAATTGACTTTTGTACTACTAGGGGTATTTTGGTCTTTCCTTTACCCCTACCTTGGGAGGGGACCGCAAAGTTCAAACAAAACTGGCAGTGATGAACATTTGAAACCTAGGTTTTTCACTAAGTGCAATAATTAGTGCAATTAATCTTCATAGTTAATAACCTTATCCCCCCGTTAGGCATGTAAAAATTACCCACATGAATTTAAGCATCAATTCGAGATTATGGCAAGTATTCAAACCCTAACTAAAAAGAAAAAAAATAAATCTACGAGAAAAGAAGAGAAAAAGAAAAAAATCAATGCAAAGATTTGAGCATACCAGTTGTGAAATTTAGTGGAAATTGGACTCTTGATTAATGTCAAATGAGATTGAGAGCCAAATAGATGAAAGTGAACAGTTAGTGTGGTGAAAATTTGAGGTTCAAAACGTGCAGCAGTGCCAAGGACCTTCTATTTATAACAAACATATGGGGACCCACCCCTTACCTGAATGCGGCCGCGAAATTCTCTTGCGGTCCGCATTTTGTTACCTGATGAAGAACAACTTCAAGCATCTGACCGCAGTCCACGAAATATTGAGCGCGGCCGCGGAATTCACCGCGGACTGCCAAACTATGGACGCGGACACAAAAGCTGAAGGGTATTTGACAGTCCAACTTCAGAGAGTTGGCATTTTGCTCTTTTGAACTACGCATCTACGAACAAAAAGATGCGGCCGCGAAGTGCTCACCCGGACCGCGAAATTATGGGCAAGGTTCGCAGACTTCCAACACTTAGCCAAACTTTTCCTTTGTGAATTTGCTGCACTGCACAACCAATTCCTACATACACTTCACAACCAGTCAGTTCAAAACAATGCTTAATCTAAGAAGAAAATCAAAAGAATGAAAAACACATGGGTTGCCTCCCAAGAAGCGCCTAATTTAACGTCGCGGCACGACGCATGTTACCATCATCATTTAAAATTGATCAAGGCCACCACGTGGCTATCATCAAACTTGCCAAGATATTGCTTCACTCGGTGCCCAGTAACTCTGAAGATTTCACCATTTTTGTTTTTCAAATCAAGAGCACCAAACGGAGTTACATGCACCACTTCAAAAGGGCCACTCTATTTTGACTTGAGCTTTCCTGGAAATAGTCGTAACCGAGAGTTGAATAGAAGAACCAAGTCACCCTCCTCAAATTCTTTGTTCCGGGCATATTTGTCATGTAAGTACTTCATTTTGTCCTTATACAAAGATGAGCTGGAATAAGCATAAAATCGGAACTCATCAAGTTCATTTAGTTGCTCTATCTGGAGACTATATCCCATTCAAGGTTTAACTTCTTCAGTGCCTACATGACCTTATGCTCTAATTCAACCGGAAGATGGCATGCTTTCCCAAATACCAACTGGTACGGAGACATACCAATTGGAGTCTTGTACGCAGTTCTGTAAGCCCACAAAGCATCGTCATGTTTCCTTGACCAATCCGTCCGGTTTGCATTGACAATTTTTGATAATATGCTTTTTATCTCCCTATTGGAGACCTCAACTTGTCCACAAGCCGGGGGATAATAAGGGGTTAACATCTTATGATTGAAACCATACTTGGAAAGTAAAGTATCAAAGGCTTTGTTGCAAAAATGAGAACCCCCATCACTAAAGATCGCCCTTGGAGTGCCAAACCTAGTGAAGATATTTTTCTTTAAGAACACCACCACACTCCGTGCCTCATTGTTGGGCAAAGCCACGACTTCAACCCACTTGGAAACATAATCAACAACAACCAGAATGTATGTATTATTACATGAACTCACAAATGACCCCATGAAGTCAATGCCCCACACATCAAAAATATCAATCTCAAGAATAGTGGTGAGAGGCATTTCATCCTTCTTGGAAATTCCACCAGCTCTCTGCATTCATCACATCTCTTAGCAAGCTCACAAGCATCTTTATACAGGGCAAACAAATAAAATCCATGGCGGAGAACCTTTGAAATAGTTCTCGCCACACCATGATGACCACCGTAGGGTGAGAAATGGAAAGCATCAAGAATACTCATTTGCTCCTCTTGCGAAACACATCTCCAGATCACACCATCATTGAAAATCTTGAAAAGATATGGCTCATCCCAATAATAATCCAAGCTATCCCATTTAAGCTTCTTCCTTTGGTTAGAATAGAGCTCACTCGGGGCAATGCCGGTCACAAAAAAGTTAGCCACATCGGCGAACCAAGACATACCATTCCAAGACACGAAGAGGAGTTGTTAATCCAGAAACGAATCATTAATTTTGATGCCATCATGGGGCCTCCCCTCCTCTTCTAAGAGGGACAAGTGGTCTGCCACTTGATTCTCACTCTCTTTTTGATCAATGATTTCAAGGTCAAACTCTTGAAGCAGAAGAACCCATCTCATCAACCTCGCCTTAGAGTCTTTTTTTGTCATCAAGTAACGGAGTGCCACATGATCGGTGTGCACAATCACTTTGGCACCCATGAGATATGACCTAAACTTTTCTATGGCGAAGACAATGGATAATAACTCTTTCTCGGTCATCATATTATTGACTTGGGCGTCATTCATCATTTTACTTTTATAATAGACCGGATGACATATCTTATTGATCCTTTTCCCCGAAACCGCTCCTAGCGCAACATCACTAGCATCGCACATGAGCTCAAATGGTAAGCTCCAATTGGGTGCGGTAATGATGGGAGTGGTAGTCAATCTATACTTGAAAAGCTCAAAAGCTTTCATGGAATCATCATTGAGCACATACTTTGTATCCTTTTCCAACAACTTGCACAAGGCATTCTCCACTTTTGAGAAATCCTTGATGAACCTTCGATAGAACCCCACGTGCCCAAAAAAGCTCCTAACTCCCTTGATGAAAGTAGGAGGAGGGAGTTTTAAAATCACTTCAATCCTTGTCTTGTCCACTTCAATACCGTTTTTTGAGATCTTATGGTCGAGGACAATGCCCTCCTCGACCATAAAGTGGCATTTTTCCTAATTAAGCACTAGGTTGGTCTCTTCACATCGGGCCAACACTTTGTCAAGATTATCCAAGAATTCTTCAAAGGAGTCACCCACATCACTAAAATCATTCATGAACACTTTGAGGAAGTCCTCCACCATATCCGTGAATATTGCCATCATGCATCGCCGAAAAGTTGCCGGTGCATTACATAGACCAAACAACATCCTTGAGAATGCAAATGTGCCGTACGAACAAGTGAAAGTGGTCTTCTCTTGGTCTTTAGGTGCAATAAGGATCTGGTTATACCCAGAATGCCCATCCAGAAAACAATAATAAGCACGACCGTCTAGCCTATCCAACATCTGATCAAGAAATGGTAGCAAAAAATGGTCTTTCCAGGTCACTTTGTTAAGCTTTCTGTAATCCATGCATACCCTCCAACCGGTGACTGTCTTTGTGGGGATCAACTCACTGTTGTCATTTGTAATCACAGTCATACCCCCATTCTTTGGGACACATTGCATGGGTAAAGTCCATGAACTACCAGAAATGGGGTAGACAACCCCAACATCCAACCATTTGATGATCTCTTTCTTGACTACCTCTTGCATGGCCTTATTCAACCTTCTTTGATATTCCACGAAGGGTTTGGCATCCTTCTCCAATATGATTTTGTGCATGCAAAAGGCAGGGCTTATACCCCGAATATCTGCTAATGTCCAGCCTATTGCCTTGTTCCACCTTTTGAGCACCGCAAGGGTAGATTTTACATGCACGTTAGTTAAGCAAGCAGAAAGAATAATAGGTAAAGTAGAATAATAGCCTAATAACTTATACCAGAGGTGTGAAGGTAAGGGATTCAAATCCAATGTGGGAGGCTCCTCGGTTGAGGGCTTTGCTCGTGAAGTTTTCCAGTTCTCAAGGTCCAAGGAAAGTTTTCGGGGCTCATATGTATACGAACCCATTCCTTGCAAAGCATTGACACATTCTACCCAGCCTTCCTTCTCATCCTCATCATGATTCAATAACATTTCTTCCAATGGGTATTCAACATTAATCATAGCATTTGTGTCATCAACAATTACCTCGGTCACAAGATCCACAATGAACACACTTCGTTGCTATTAGGCTGCTCATTGACTTGCAAACATGGAACACAACGTTTTCATCACCTACCTGGAAGGTGAGTTCCCCTAATTACACATCAACTAAGGCCTTCCTTGTAGCTAGGAAAGGTCTCCCCAATATGATTTGCATCTTGTAGCCAACGTCACAGTCAAGAATCACAAAATATGCAGGAAGTATAAACTTGTCGACCTGAACTAGCACATTATCAATTATCCCCAATGGCCTCTTCATTGTCCTATCTGCCATTTGTAACCGCATGGATGTGGGTCTTGGTTGCCCAATCCCCAATGTCTTAAACACAGAATATGACATCAAGTTAATGCTAGCCCCCAAATTACACAAAGCATTGGCAAAATCGGCATTACCAATAGTGCATGGGATTGTAAAGGCACCGGGGTATTCTAGCTTTGGAGCCATGGAATGCACAATGGAACTCACTTGATGTGTCATTTTGATCGTTTCACAGTTCATCGATCTTTTCTTTGTCACCAAAACCTTTATAAACTTGGCATACCCCGGCATTTGCTCTAGAGCTTCGACCAAAGGCATATTTATAGAAAAACTTTTCATCATATCATTGAATTTCTTGAATTGATTTTTATTGCTTTGTTTTGCTAGACTTTTGAGGATATGGTGGAGGAGGCCTTGGCAAAGGAGCCTTGGCTTTGGGCACTACGGGTTCCGGTATGTCTATCACGTGTTCCCTAGATGGGTTCACATCATTTTGTGTTTCCTCCATGTTGTCATCAATGTCTATCCTCACTTTATCATTCACATTCTCATCATTCACTTGCACATCATTGCTTTGCTCATCATCATCTTGCACCAACACATTGTTGTGACAAAAAACACTCACACAAGTGCACGTGATCATCAAGTAATAGAGTAGTGAGTAGAGTATCATTCCCACGAAGATTTATGATTAACTGTTGACTGATTCAAACCCAATTTCTTTATCTACCCAAGAGATAGTTCACAAAAGAGAGATGTAATTGTTTTACTACTTAACTATAAAGAATTAATCTAACTAAAACAAGTAACCAAACGAATAGCAATTACGAGTAACAAACAGTAGGAGAAGATATTCCAGGGTCACGGGCATAGTTACAATCGTGTTGTGTTCTTGGCTCGAAATGACTAATCAATTTATCTGGGTTATTCATTGACAGGGTTAATATTACTCATAAGAATCTGTCGAGTTCTTACTCGCCTATTCAAGTCAATGACTATATGTCTATGGAATTAAAATTAATCAAGAACGCATTTACAATTCCTGTATTTCAACCAAGCAAGACAATTGGGTATATGTCTATCCCAATTGCAAATCCGTTCTCCGAGGCCCGGGTTCAAGAACTTGCTCTATTTAATTCTATATGCAATCTAAAGTTCCCACTTTCGAGTTCAACTAAAGATTAGTATATAGTATTTCACTGTTAGCTACTCAACAAAATAATTAAGAACAAAATTAAATAAACAACCCAATATGATAAACAAACTTTTTCAAATTAAACTTCAAACAACAATATTCATGTTTTACCCACGACCCTAGAACAATGGGTCTTAGCTGCTCATACTAGTGTTCACCATAAATAAGTTCAATTTCATCACAAAACAGCAAAAACAAGAGAAGAAAAGAAGAACTTGATGGTCCAAACTCCTCCTTGCCTCTTGCCTCTTGCCTCTCTATTTCTTCCCCTAAACTCTGAAAAACCTGTCCACTTAACCTTGGGCGAGCTTGACTTTATATAGGTTAAGTGGGTTTCCCTCCAGATTTCCAATTTTACCCCTAGATAACTTTTTTTTCCGGACCGGACACGCGCGAGCTCGCGCGTAACTTCGCGCGTGATTCTGCCTCAGCCTTTCTTACGCTCGAACTACTGCGCGACTTCGTGCGTTTGAAGCTTGATTTCGTCCATTTTTTCGTCTCGTCTTTGCGCGCACTCGACTCCGAGGGGTTGTTCTTGCTCATAAATCATTCCAATATCCTCTTGAAAATATCATATAGCCTCCTCATCCTGCAATGTATACATATCACAATTAGAGCCTATTTTTCGTCAATTAACCATAATATGTCATTGGAATATAATCAAGCGGAAGCATAAACAATAGCTAAATCACCTAGATTTTGCCTATTATCAACACCCCACACTTATTTCATTGCTAGTCCTCGAGCAATTAACTATACTCTCTAGAGAATCCTTCACTCAACCATTTCCCTTAACGCATTACACCTAGAACAATGTACATGTATTACGCCTAGCAGTGAACAATCCTAGCCCCAAAATCGACTCTCAAGTGCCATGCAATATTCACACTTCCTCAAAGTACTCTACACATAAGTCAAGACTTGCTTTTCCATCACGAATCATATGCCCTCACAATTACATCAACAAAAACTGAGTTCAATCCACCACATTCAATTCATATACTCACATATATCAAGGAAATCACTCACTCTCACAAAAGAGGTCACATGCATGCAATTGGTACCATAAGCTTGCCCTTAATGTAAAGCTCTACTAATGTAGGTTAGCTCGATCCAAAATCAATTAGGACTTTTCATGGTTGTAATGTGGGCTAAGGGACGGGTATGATATATTTAGGAATAGTGACTCAACCCCTAAGCACTTTAACATATCACAAGAGCAATTTTTTTAGTGCAAATTCTTCAACCCACTTCTCATTCACACACAATAGCATCCCCCAAATACTCCCTTCTTCTTTAAGCACTCTATTAATTCATTCCCATTAGCTGGAACAAGACATAATGTAATCATCTCTTTTCTTTTTCTCCAGTTTATTCTTCTTGTCACTCAATTTCTGCTAGTGGTGTATTCGTTTACAATATAAGTACACCTTTCATCCTTTTATTTGTTCCACTCAAAAGTCACCCCACACTTATTTCCTTCTTACTTCTTTTAGCGCTCCTCTTACAATTAAAGTGCTTTAAGAGGTAAAAGGATCAAAATAATGTCAATTAAGAACAAAAGGGTATAGGCTTGTAATGCGGGTGCCAAACAAAAGTCTAAAGGCTCAAAAGGGTTAACTAGGGACAAATTTTATTTGTGATAAGCCATTAAGCTCAAAAAGGTCAAAGAAAGCTTAACATCATTTTTCAAACCGAGCATCACCTAAAATTTTGCTTCAACTCATATACCGGGCAAGTTCTAGACACAAGTACACTACATGGACTACACAAATACTCACCACACATGGAATATGACTCATTTAAATCAGCTCATCAAGACGCTCCATTACGAGCATTCAATTCAGTAACAAACATACAAATTAAGGCACTTTCAGTGAGATTCAACAATTAGGACTAAGCATTACACTCTAGGGTCTATTGTGTTCAGGTGTGTCAATGCTATGGGTTTTCTTTCAAATTTTTTATAGCTCGTAACCCATTACCCTAATCTACAAATCAAAAAGAAAACAAAAATAAAAACTACCTATGTCCGGTTCAAGCTAAACCCTTGGAAAAGAACCGCGACTTAAAGGAAAACCAAGGGGGAATTTCTACACTACCTAAGAAAAAATAAAAAATCTTTTTGTTGTCTTCTTTAGACTCACTTCCCTCAAGAATATCGTCTAAAAGATCCGTCATCAGGAAGAGCCTACAATTTTTTTTTCTCGACTCAGTCCCTCAAGAACCCCGTCGAAAGGGATCCGTCGTCAGGTCGAGCCATTTATCTAAATTAACAAAAAAACTACTCCTGCTTAGCAAAAACTATCAAGTCAACATGAAACAAACAAGACAACCCGACAATTTGTACAACTATATACAGCATACAATGAGGGAATCTCCCACTCCACACTTAAAAAGAAGACATGTCCCCATGGCTTAAAATTTAAAAGAGCAGTGAGGTGAAGAGACTTCCCTGAAGCTTCACTCTTGATCGGAAATGGTTTCGGGGTTCACGTTGCATGCACACCCCAAAGCTCGCAGCCAACCCATGAACTTCTTTTCCGACTTGACTTGTCGGTCAGCTATCGCGTCCACATGAGTGCCCAAATCATTCAAGGAGGTACGTAGACCAGCCACCTCCTGCTCCAATGTGGTGTGCCGGGACACTCTGGCAGTTCCTGAAGAAGACGCTGCTCGTGACAGTGCTGCAGCTGTTGCGCTGGGCACTTGGGCCTGTGCTTCGCCCTCCACATCCATTTGCTCTTCCTCCTCCGATGCATCAGAACCACTCTCATCCTCTCGACCTGCCACTGCTGCTAAGGCTGCCTCCGTGGTGTTCGTGCCAGGTCGGATATTGTGGCTTTGTCTTACCAGCCCGTCCACACGAGTATTTTCAGGCACCTGCACATTCCTGCAAAGCTTAGTCACCAAAGATGGGAAAAAAGCCATACTAGCATTGGGGACATCAGATAAACATCTCGGCGTGGATCACTTTGGCCATGTCAAAGGGAAGACCCTTGATGAAGCACCAAATCAATATAGCCCGGGTTCCATTCACCTCTGTAGTATTTGTGGAGGGAATAAGGTGACTGTTAATCACATACAGCCAGCTCTTCTCCTCTGGAGTTAAGACGGATGAGTGGAACTTCTCTCCATGTTCCAGCCACTCTATCATTTTTCCTGGTGCGTAAATTTCATCAAAGAAGCGCTCCCACTTGGCATTAGTTGGATTTCACCCATATTTATAAAAGTCATTATTCTCAGGCAGAGGGTCGGGCAATTGATAAGCTGTGCGTATCGCCTCAATGGAGGCATCCACCGCCTTACGGCGCACTGTGACCACATGGTTGACATGCTCTGGTAGATTAGCATAGAATTCGCGTACAACCATTACATTAGCCTCCCCTGGCTCGTCAATGAAGGCCTGTAGACCCCGCTCCATCAACTCATTATACATGTGGGGGCATCGTTCCTTGACCTTTTTGATATTGATGCCTCTCTCCGGAATTGCCTTCTTGGCAGCCTTCTCTGTAAAACGGGTCTGAGCCTCAAGAGAGACAAATTTGTTGCTGTCATAGGAACGTGCAGGAGCTGCCTTTTGGCGGCTTGAGGTTGGACCCGTGGCTTGTTGCTTTTTCGATGGTGCCATAATACCTGCAAAACGAGGACACATTAGCTCAGCCCAACAAAAATAGTGTGACTTGATGCGGTTACTCAGACTTCACACGCAAAATTGGTCACAACTACATAATCATGCTCATTGAGGCCTTTCCATAAACACATTGTGGGCATTAGGCTCTCACAACTTTTTTCAAAGGGTCTTGCAACAAGGGCTTCCCACAAAAGCTCATCCATAACCCAAATCAAGTACTACCCACCCCACACTTACAACAAACTAACCCAACAATATATTTCACCAAGTTTGAACACCAAATCACAAAACACATCTACACTAATGGCATAAAATACAACATAACAAAGTCTGAAAATAGAAAGAGAAAAAGAAAGAAAGACTAAAACTAGGGCTCATACCATGTTAAAAATCGCGAGATAGGGAGATGATGCTAGTGATTTCTTTTTGGGAAGGGAATCGTGAGAGAGGTTAATGGAGGTAGGGGTGCTAGAATTTGGTGTCTTTGAAGGGTTTGGGATATTTTGGAAGAGGGGATATGGGTTTTGTTTAATAGANNGGGGGGGGGGGGAGGGTTAAATGTGTCTAAACAAATAACCTATTAAACTACAAAAATAAAAGAAATAAAAAGAAAAACTAAAACTAAAAAGAAAAACAAAACACCTGAAAAGTTCCAAGCTAAAAGGCTCGCCCAGGCGCACGAGCATACGCGCGAAGTTTGGAGCTCGCGCGTTTGTTCGCGCGCTTCTGTTGAGTTCTAGGAAGAAAGGTTCGCGAACTTGTGCGTGAAGTTTGGAGCTCGCGCGCTTCCGTTGAGTTCCAGGCAGAAAGGTTCGCCCAGGCGCGCGAGCATACGCGCGAAGTCGCGCTCCTGGGCGTTTAGTTTTGCATTTAATGTCACCTGTTTTGCTCCTGGTTGATGGTCCTTTCACCCGCCCTTCATCGCCTGCATTTGTTAGTAAGTTAAAACTCAAAATCAAACACTACTACTATCGATGGGTTGCCTCCCAACCAACGCCTTATTTAACATCGTGGCACGACGGTTACAACATTTCAATGGGTTGCCTTCCATCCAGCGCCTGATTTAACGTCGCGACACGACTCAACATGTTATCAAGCATCCTTCAAGTCCAATGAGCTCTTGTGACGTGCAAAGTTACCACCCCAGTAATGTTTTATCCATTGACCGTTCACCAAGAAAGTGCCAGTGGAACTCATATCTCTCAATTCCACGGCTCCATGAGGCTTCACGCTTACCACAACAAAAGTGCCCAACCAACGAGATTTAAGCTTTCCGGGAAAAAGCTTCAACCTCGAATTGAACAACAGAACTTCTTGCCCTGGCTCGAACTCTCGATGTTGAATGTGCTTGTCATGCCACCTCTTAGTCTTTTCTTTATACAATTTGGCATTCTCATATGCATGTAATCGAAACTCCTTGAGCTCATCGAGTTGCAGTAACCTCTTCTCTCCAGCTAACTCCCCATCCATGTTTAGCTTCTTTATTGCCCAATAAGTCTTGTTCTCAAGTTCGACGGGCAAGTGACATGCCTTCACATACACCAATCTATAAGGAGAAGCACCTATGGGAGTTTTGTATGCTATTCGATACGCCTACGATGCGTCGTCTAACTTTCCGGCCCAATCTTTTCTATTTGCACTCACTGTTTTCTCAAGAATTTGCTTGACCTCTCTATTTGAAACCTCCACTTGACCACTCGTCTGTGGATGATAGGCAGTGGAGACCTTATGCTTGACTCCGTACTTTGCAAGGACATTGTTTAACAGTTTGTTGCAGAAATGCATACCTCCATCGCTGATCAACACTCTGGGAGTTCCAAAGCGTGTGAAGATATGCTTCTTGACAAAGCTTACCACCACCTTTGCATCATTAGGGGTAAGAGAAATGGCCTCCACCCACTTAGACACATAATAAACTGCCACCAAGATGTATCTATAGCCGTTCGAGTAAGGAAAAGGTCCCATGAAGTCAATTCTCCAAACATCGAAAAGCTCCACTACCAGGATGTTTTGCATCGGCATCTCGTGCTTCTTAGTGATCGTCCCGATTCTTTGGCACCTGTCACATATTTTAACAAAGGTGTGTGCATCTCTAAACAATTTCAGCCAATAGAAACCTGATTGTAGCACTTTTTGGGCGGTCCTGTCTCCATCGTGATGACCTCCGTATGACGAGGCGTGACAACTATAAAGTACGGCACTCATCTCCTCCTCAGGAACACATCTCCGCACCAACTGATCTGCACATAGCCTGTATAAGAATGGCTCATCCCACATGTAGAGCCTCACATCATGCAAGAACCTTCGTCTATTGTCTGGTGTCAATTCTGGTGGTGTCACCCCACTTGCAATAAAGTTCACATAATCTGCATACCACGGGGTGGTACTTGAGGTGATTGCCAATAACTACTCATCAGGGAATGTTTCTTTGATTGCATCCCCTTCAGCTACATGGTTCCGATTTTCTAATCTGGACAATTGATCAGCCACTTGATTCTCTGTTCCTTTGCGGTCTCGGATCTCTAAATCAAACTCTTGCAGCAGTAGGACCCACCAAATCAGTCTCGGCTTGGCATCCTTTTTATCAAATAGGTACCTGATGGCTGAATGATCTGTGTAAACGATGACTTTGGTCTCCACAAGATATGACCTGAACTTGTCAAACGCCCACACCACTGCAAGCAACTTTGTTTCAGTGACGGTGTAGTTCATCTGAGCTGGATTCAAAGTTTTGCTCGCATAGTAGATGGAGTGGAATATCTTATTTCTCCTTTGCCCCAAGACAGCACCAACAGCCAAGTCGCTAGCATCGCACATCAACTCGAATGGCTGCTCCCAATCCGGAGCAATTATAATTGGTGCAGTAACCAACCTTCTTTTTAGCTCCTCGAATGCCTTCAAACAGGTATCATCAAATTTGAAGGCAACATCTTTCTCAAGCAACCTGCACAAGGGAGAGGAAATTTTCAAGAAATCTTTAATGAAACGACGATAAAAACCTGCATGGCCCAAGAAACTGCGAATGCCCTTGACAGATATCGGTGGGGGAAATTTTTCAATCACTTCCACCTTTGCCTTGTCCACCTGCAGACCATCTTTGGACACCTTGTGCCCCAGGACTATACCTTCACGTACCATGAAATGGCACTTTTCCCAGTTTAGCACCAAGTTAGTCTCTTCACACCTAGCAAGTACTTTATCAAGGTTCATCAAGCAGTTATCAAAAGAGCAACCAAACACAGAAAAATTGTTCATGAACACTTCCACAAACCTCTCAACTATGTCAGTAAAAATGGCCATCATACACCTTTAAAAAGTCGCAGGTGCATTACAAAGACCAAAAGGCATTCGCTTGAACGCATACGTGCCATAAGGACACGTAAAAGTGGTTTCTCTTGGTCCTTTGGGGCTATAGCAATCTGATTATACCCTGAGTAACCATATAAGAAGCAATAGTACTCCTGGCCAGCTAATCTATCAAGCATTTGGTCAATAAAGGGGAGGGGAAAGTGGTCCTTCCGGGTGGCATTGTTCAATTTTCTGTAATCAATGCAAATTCTCCACCCGGTGACAGTTCTTGTAGGTATTAAATTATTATTCTCATTAACTACTATAGTCACCCCCCCTTTCTTGGGTACACATTGGACGGGGCTTACCTATTTGCTGTCTGAGATAGGGAATACAATACCTGCATCGAGCCACTTAATCACTTCTTTTCTTACCACCTCTTTTATAATTGGATTGAGTCGGCGTTGTTGCTCTACACTGGGCTTGTGTCCATCCTCCATGAGGATTTTGTGCATGCAAAAGGATAAACTAATGCCCTTAATGTCAGACATAGTCCACCCAAGTGCTCACTTGTGCTCACATAGCACTCTCAACAGCTTTTCTTCCTGCAATTTAGACAAGTCACATGAGATAATAACAGGTAAAGTGTCAGAGTCACCCAAATAAGCATATTGCAGGTGAGGTGGAAGGGGTTTAAGTTCCAATTTTGGGGCTTCCTAAATTGATGGCCTTAGAGGAGGCCCCTCTGGTCTATTCAAAGGCTCGAAGGGGTGCGTCCCTTGCAGGTACACACAAGATGTATCAAGGATGTGCATCATCTCCTCAACCTCCTCATCAGCCCCCAGGCTATCAAGTAACATAAGTGCTTTCTCTAGAGAATCGTCTAGATATACACTCGGATAACGAATCTGCTCATCAGCCTCAACAACAAATATCATTGAGAGCTCCTCATAGTGGCGGGAAAGTTGGATTGCTCTGTAGACATTAAAAACTGCTTCCATGTCATCTACCCGCAAAATCATCTTTCCCTCTCTCACTTTGATAATTGCATCACCAGTAGCTAAGAGGGGTCGCCCCAATATGATTGGAACCAGTTCATCAGCCACATAATCGAGGATAATGAAATCAGCTGGGAAGATAAATTTCCCAATCTGCAGCAACACATCTTCAATCACCCCTTCAGGGTGTGCTATCGATCTGTCAGCTAGCTGCAACATCACAGTAGTTGGCCTTGGAGCTCCTAGACCCAGTTGTTTGAACAAAGATAGGGGCATCAAATTTATGCTTGCCCCCAAATCACAAAGAGCACGACCCACATCAACATTACCAATACGCACATGAATCGTAAAGCTGCCGAGATCCTTAAGCTTTTGAGGGAGCTTATTTTGGACCCTAGAAGTGCACTCCTTAGTAAGTGCAACTGTCTCAAAGTCAGTTAATCTTCTCTTGTGAGCCACTATATCTTTTATGTATTTAACATACTTTGGAATTTCACGAAGCACATCAACGAGTGGGATATTCAATTGAACTTGGCTCAACATAGAGAGGAATTTTGTGAACATGCGATCATCAGTCTTTTTCTGCAATCTTTGGGGAAAAGGTGGTGGTGGTCTAGGGGCCTCCATGGGCTCTGAAATTTCAGCAGCATTCTTTTGCTCTTGAGTCACTTTAGGGATCAACTCTCCCTCAGGTATGGGCTTGTCTTTCTTTTTCTTTGGCACTTCCTCTAGCTCCCTCCCATTTCTAAGTGTAACTGCATTCACTTGAGGGTTCTTTTCTGTATCACTGGGGAGGGCGCCTGCAGGTCTAGTGTTTTGAGTTGTTGCTAACTGCCCCATTTGCCTTTCAAGATTTCTGAAGTTAGTCCTGAGTTGCTGATTGTCAATCAACAACTTCTTTAGCAGATCATTGGTACTTTCTTCCATTTGTTGGGGTGGTCTCTGAGGCTGATTGAAATTCCCTTGGGGTCTATGCTGATTCTGATTCTGCTGATTTCCACCCCATGAGAAGTTGGGATGATTCCTCCAACTTCGATTGTAAGAATTCCCGTATTGTGCATGCTGATTCGGTGGACCTCTGTTCTGTTGCTCCACATAATAGATGGATTTTGGATTCGTGGGGTACATATCACTCATATGACTGTCACCACAGAGTTCGCAACAAATAGTCATCTGTTGTACGTGTTGCATTATCTGTGGTTGCTACATTGTCATCCGAGTCATCTGATTGGCCAGCTTTGCAATATGGGCTCTCATGGCTGACACTTCGTCTAACTCAAGTAACCCAGCTGATTTTTACTTAACTACCTTTCGTGAATCACCCTCACCTTCCCAGTTATTATCATTAACAGTGAAGTTATTTAGCAAGATTTGGATTTCACTGTACGGTCTGTCCATGCAACTACCCCCACAATCGGAATCAAGATTCATCTTTGAAGCATCATCTAACCCATCTACAAAAGTGTGACCCAATACCTCGTCCGTCTGGCAATAATGAGGACAGTCTCTGAGCATCTTCTTGTACCTTTCCCATGCTTGACGCAGTGTCTCGCCCGCTCGTTGTTCAAACCCAAGAATTTGACTCCTCAATACCTTTATTTTCTTAGTGGGGAAAAACTTGATTAAGAATTTCCTCGCCAGATCATCCCAGGTGAGGATTGAATTTGCTGGATCTTTATTCAACCACTCCTTAGCTTCCCCAATCAGTGAAAAGGGGAAAAATGTTAGCCTGACATAGTCCTTGGAAACGTTCGGATAGTTGTAGGTATCCGTAATTTCCAAGAAATTCTGAATGTGCCTCTGAGGGTCTTCATGAGGTAAACCCACAAACAGCCCTGTGGATTGGATCAACTGCACCATGTATTGTTTCAGCTCAAAGTGCCCAGTGATGTCAGGGTTCACAATAGCCTCAGTCATATTAGCCAGACTGGGCCTTGCAGCTTCAATCACCGCGCGTTCCTCATTACCTGCCATCTCAGTTGGCTGTGGTTGAACTACGATGTCCAACTCTCTTTCAATTCTGGTTCTCGCGTCACCTCCCTCCTTAATCTGTTAAGTGTTTGTTCAATTTCGGGATCAAAAGGAAGGAGATTGTTTGTGCTTCTACTTCTTCGCATTCAATAGAAACTCCAGTATTAGCACAAACAAAGTGAACTGAAAGTTAAAACTCGAATAAATAAGTAATAAAAGATCAATTCAGTCAAGTAGCTAATTTTTAAGTCCCCGGCAACGGCGCCAAAAACTTGTTGTGACCAAAAACACTCACGCAAGGGCACGTGATCGTCAAGTAATAGAGTAGTGGGTAGAGTATTGTTCCCACGAATACTTATGATTAACTGTTGACTGATTCAAACCCAATTTCTTTATCTACCCAAGAGATTGTTCACAAAAGAGAGATGTAATTATTTTACTACTTAACTATAAAGAATTAATCTAACTAAAACAAGTAACCAAACGAATAGCAATTACGAGTAACAAACAGTAGGAGAAGATATTCTAGGGTCACGAGTATAGTTAGAATCGTGTTGTGTTCTTGGCTCGAAATGACTAATCAATTTATCTGCGTTATTGATTGACAGGGTTAATATTACTCATAAGAATCTGTCGAGTTCTTACTCGCCTATTCAAGTCAACTCAGTGCATATATGTCTATGGAATTAAGATTAATCAAGAACGCATTTACAATTCCTGTATTTCAACCAAGCAAGGCAATTGAGTATATGTCTATCCCAATTGCAAATCCGTTCCCCAAGGCCCGGGTTCAAGAACTTGCTCTATTTAATTCTATGTGCAATCTAAAGTTTACACTTTCGAGTTCAAATAAAGATTAGTAGATAGTATATCACCATTAGCTACTCAACAAAATAATTAAGAACAGAATTAAATAAACAACCCAATATGATAAACCAACTTTGTCAAATTAAACTTCAAACAACAACATTCATGTTTTACCCACGACCCTAGAACAATGGGTCTTAGCTGCTCATACTAGTGTTCATCATAAATAAGTTCAATTTCATCACCAAACAGCAAAAACAAGAGAAGAAAAGAAGAACTTGATGGTCCAAACTCCTCCTTGCCTCTTGCCTCTTGCCTCTCTATTTCTTCCCCTAAACTCTGAAAAACCTCTCCACTTAACCTTGGGCGAGCTTGACTTTATATAGGTTAAGTGGGTTTCCCTCAAGATTTCCAATTTTACCCCTAAATAACTTTTTTTCCGAACCGGACACGCGCGAGCTCGCGCGTAACTTCGCACGTAATTCTGTCTCATCCTTTCTTACGCGCGAACTACTGTGCGACTTCGCGCATTTGAAACTTGATTTTGTCCATTTTTTCGTCTCGTCCTTGCGCGCACTCAACTCTGAGGGGTTGTTCTTGCTCATAAATCATTCCAATATCCTCTTGAAAACATCATATAGGCTCCTCATCCTGCAATGTATTCATATCACAATTAGAGCCTATTTTTCGTGAATTAACCATAATATGTCATTGGAATATAATCAAGCGGAAGCATAAACAATAGCTAAATCACCTAGATTTCGCCTATTATCACACATTATCACTCACAATCTTCCTTGGATTAGAGGTACTAGCAACTCTACCTCTACCAGTCCTTGTAATCACTGCCATAGCATGGCCCGTATTGTTCTCACCCTTCGGGTTTGCTACCATATCACTACGTAGTTCCCCCTTAGGGAGTGTGTTTAATACTTGAGAATTTGGCCAAGTTGGACTTCCAAGTTGCGGATAGAAGTGTTATGGGAGGCTAATTGGGCATCAGAGTCGGAATTTTTCTTCATCATTTGCTCAGACATGGATTCAATCCGTCCCATCTCATTGTCGGAAGAGCTAGGACCTTGCGATGGATATGGAGGCATGTTGTTTGGTTGTTGATACATCAGAGGCCTTTGAAATCCCGGCCCCCGATTCCCTTGATTATTGTTATTCCAACCGCCTTGATTGTTATTTCCTCCCCAATTACTATTATTGTTGCTACCCCAATTGCCCTGGTTTCCTTGGTTACCCCAATTCTGATTATTGTTGTTCCCCCAATTGCTTTGGTTGTTGTTGTTGTTGCCACTATTCCAATTTCCTTGTTGACTTTTATTTCCCCGATTTGGATTCTTGTTGTTCCCCCAATTGCTTTGGTTTCCCTGTGATCTCCATTGTTGTTGATTCGAAGCATTGTTCCGTTGACCTTGGTAATTATTAACATATTGCACCTCTTCACTTTTATCATCATATGACTCATCTTGATTGTAACCACTACCACTTTGCTCAAATTGATCCGGATTTTTTTGAACTTGTTGACCTCTTTTCCTTTTCATCATGTTCACTTCTTACATAGCGTTCACTTGCTTTGGCCCTTGTATTTGTTGCAATTGTGCCTTGGCCAATTGATTTATGGTGGTTGTCAAATCCGCTATAGCTTGTCCGTGGTCAAGAAGCTCGTTATGTAGGTGAATAACATTCGAATCACCCTAAGGAATGTTAACTCTACTTTGCCAAGATGAAGAAGTATCCGCCATCACATCTAATATTTCACATGCTTCGGCATATGGCGTGTTCATGAAATTACCCCCCACGAGTCGATTCACCACACACTGGTTAGTTGTATTTATCCCCCTATAAAAGGTTTATTTGATCATGGCTTCGGTCATGTCCTTATTAGGGCACTCCTTTACCATCATCCGGTACCTTTTCCAAATTTCATGCAGCGGTTTATTTGGCTCTTGTTTAAAAGCAAGGATCTCATCTCTTAGTATTGCCATATGTCCCGGCGAAAAGAACTTTGCAATGAATTTCTCGGTCAACTCATCCCAAGTGTGTATGGTATAGTTGGGTAACCTCTCCAGCCAATCTAAAGCCTTCCCCCCTAGAGGAAGGGGGGAAAGCCTTAACCTCAATGCGTCCTCAGATACATTTGTCTGCTCTCTTCCCCATCATGTGTTCACAAAACCTTTGAGATGCTTATATGCGTTTTGGTGTGGAGCTCCGGTGAAGAAACCCCTCTCTTCCAGCAGTGTAAGCATAGTTGGTTATTTGAATGTTGCCCACCCTAATCGTTGGCAGGACTATTACACTTGCATAGCCTTCATTGGGCAACACCCTGTGTGCTGACCTTGGAGGAGGTGGGGGAGGGTTTGGGACGTTGTCATTAGGCGGCCGGACTCTCCTTTGTATTTGAGGTTTGGGTTGAACCTCATCCACTTGATCGTTATCTACCTCCTCCCCTAATTGCAAATTTCCGAGGGCTTCATTGTTAAGAGCCATTTAGTACCTAGAAGCAATTTACGCACAAGATTAGAACAACAGAAGGAAAGAAAAACACAACACACAAATACTCAGATATATATCTAAAACTATCTAACTCCCCAGCAACGACACCAAAAATTGATCGGGTCCAAGCCTGCACTACTATTGAGTAGAGAGGATGGTCGGTGCAGTAGAATCACACTATTTAGATATCCACCTTGGTCCAAGCCTCCTAGGTGGATATCTAATGGGTAGTAGAATCTAGGGCAAGCTTGTGATTAATTGGGGTCGTAATATAGCAATCACACCCGAGTGCTCACTCTATACCTCTCGGAAGTTTGAGTGATTTTTCCCAATTTGGCTTTCTCAAGTCCAAATGGGTATTCATGCAATTCAAGTGATTTTAGCTCAAGTCGGGTATTACTATCTCTAGGTTTAACTCTTTAATTGGGGCTATCAATTTCTTGAGTTCACCCCAATTCCTTGTTAGCCTAGCTTTCCTAGACTTAGTCCTCTTTGTCAAGTAGAGACTAAGTCATAAAGGCATGAATCAGTGTTTGCAACCACTAATTCTAAAGTTCTATCAAGAACTAGGCTAAATATCACTAATCCATACACATTCAAACCCTAAAATTCAATACCGATCAGATACCCACACTAGGGTAGGGTCACAACACTAGATATGGGTTTATCTACTCATGAAAATAACATAAATCAAAGAGGAAATAAAGGATAAAATCCATAATACTAGATTAAAATATGAAAAGCCAATGTTAAAAAGGTGAATCTAGTTCAAAATTTCAAAAAATAGAAACTACAGCCGTCTCACGTACTCAGCAAAACATAACTTAAACTAATAATGTGATAAAGATCTATTTATACTAGGCTGAAATTTTCGAACAAAAATGCCCTTGCGGAAGTTTCGCGCCCGCATAATTCTGACCGCAACCACACACTTACTTTCGCGGCCGTATAATATTGAGTGCGATCCGCATTTATTTATATCTAAGACTAGGATGCACCTTGTTTCGTAGACCACATAATTTCCATCGCGGGCGCGTAGTGGATTTTCATGGCCGCGTAATTCCACCGCAGACCACACTCTTGTTGTTGCTTGAATTTGTTAATTCTCTGAATCTCCTCCACCACGATCTGCATAATTCTAACCGCAGCCGCGGTGAGACTTTCGTGGCCGCTTCTTTCTGATGCAGTCTGCGTCCATGTTTTTGCCCAAAAACCACCTCTCTGATTCTCCAATTCTATGTCCACGAATTAATGACCGCGTCTGGATTGATACTTTTACGGCCGCACTTTTCTATCGCAGTCCGCGTTCCACAGCTCTTGGCCCAGTCTTTGTCTTTGTTCAAGTTTTACTCCCTTTTGAGTTGATCATGGCTTCTTTGGCTCATTGTGAACAATCCCTGCAAGAAAGCATAATATGTTAGTTTTCGGGAATACCTTTACGCATTTAAAGCTCAAAACGCAAGTAAAAAGAGAGCAAATAATGGTTAAAATCCCCACTTATAATTCATCTTGCCTAAAACTGCTATATCATGCCTACTTCCTTACCCGTGTTATTACATTCCCGCAAATATTTTATGAACTAAATTGACTTCTCCTTTTTGTCTTTCTTCTCTATTCTTTCCATGTTCATTTTTTCTATATTATTTATTGCTTTTACATATTCTATCATGCAAATACTTGGCAATGTGTTATTA